GTGGGTGGGGGATTGATACTCGCGAAGAAAAAAGAAAAGCAAACAAAAGAAAAGAAAAAGCGTGTGGCGGAGGGTGAATAAAGGGGGTGGAACAGATAGGAGCGTAGAATTTTTTTTTTAATGGATACGGCGCTTCGTAGGGGGATGAAAATCGGTTAAAGATCCGAGAAAACGTTGAATTTTCCGGAAGTTCTCCGGTTACAAGTTTGATCAATGGAGCGCTTGCGCGGAAAATTCTTCCTTGCGCGTCTTCGTCCTGTATACGAGAGGGGATGAAATAAAAAAATTTTCCACGAGGGGTTGTCGTAGATTTTTCTCATAGAGAATTAACGGTAGCCAAGTTTCCGGCACGGCGGACAGACGAAATTCAAAGTCAGGGCTGGCTCAAGAAAAAAAAGATTAGGGGTTCTTAAAAGTTCTTGAATAATACAATAATACGAGGCTGGGTGAATATGGCTCTTAACGAAACCACCCTTATGGGCATTATGGTACAGCTTCGTAGGGGTAGCTATTATAATTTAAAGTCGCTCAGCCATGATTAGGACCGATCCCTTGATTGGTGGTGGGGTTGCAGACCCTGCGCATAGTTCAGGGAGGTCTCGTTAGAAATACTAGGGTGGTATTGCAACCCCTTAGACAGGGTGGGCGTGCGTCTAAGGGTAATTACTTTCGGCGGTAAGGATCAGCTAAGACAATAGCGGGTCAGAGATGTTGGGTCACGGTACTGATGTTTCACGAGCATCACAAGTCCCCCAAAAGTTTTGCGTCTCTCAAAATTTAATAGTAAATACTCCCTACGGACAATGCGTATCAAGTTTCCCCCATCATTATCCAGTTAGGAATGCAAGGGATGTGTTCGCGGGTTTACTCCTTGCATAATTAGAACTTAAAGCTTCCCTAGAACCCACGCTGCCCTTCCATCCATAGTTGAAGCTTGAGGTAGTGCACCCTCAAAGGGTTCACGTATACGCGAGTTCAGTACAAAATCAAAAAAAAAAAAAAAAAAAATAAAAAAAAAAAAAAAAAAAATCACTTTTTTCATTAATTTTCAATTTTGACTTTTTTTTTATTTCGCCTATATTCCAACATTTTTTTTGTCTACCAATTGATAATACAATTTGAACATCCCATCCTAATTGCACGGACTTTGCATTTACCGATCCTTTAATTAGCCGAACACGTTAACAGACCGGCGATTCGTGAAACGCACGTTTCCTTCGATAAAAAATACATTCACTACCTACGCGTGGGAAATCCACAAATTCGGCAGCATCGCTTTCAATCGAAAATAAAATCGAAGATTTAAACTTCGGATAAAAAAGTATTCTCGGTACGGACAATGCGAAAGGTATGTTTGGTAATAATAATGATAACAATATTTCGGTAAATATTACTTTTCCCATGCTGCTATATCGTCTTCAAATTTTTAAACTTCACGTTACTTTCGTTCTTTAACCGATTCCATACGTGCAACCATACACGTGTGTATATATATATATATATATATCCCATCCGAACCTCACCATAGAAAACGGAAGACACAGAAGACACGAGACTTCATCGGCCTGAGGCTTCCGCCACACACGTGGTGATCCTCTGTGCGATCTTCCTCCGTAACGAGCTGTAATTGCTTGGTCTTCGTATTTTTCCACCTACATATTGCCCGTTACACCATTTCACTCTTGACTCTCCCCCCCGCTCCCCCCTCCTATCATGATACCCCCCCCTTCTTCTCTTCCCATCCGAACCTCATCCATCTAACCTCAACTTTTCCCCCCTAATACGTATCCCATAGACACTATACACCGTAGTTATAATATATACATAGTTTACATACTTTACTATATACTATAGTACACATACTATACCATTAGACACGGTCTCTGTTATTCTACTAGGTTATGTACTACTTATCGTCACGAGCTCCAGGCAAATACTACATCTATAATCGAGGTACAGCTTATTGGCTCTTTGTCCGTGTTTCACATGGAAATTAAAAAAAAAAAAAAATCCCATAGAATAAAGCATAATTTGCCAATGAAAAAAAAAAATACCACACACAATGGGCAGAGCGCTTGTTTCCACGTGAGCGAATCGCGCGCCTAACGCTTGATAATGTCGATTCGATACGATGTAAAAGATTTGCCGAGTACTTTCCTTTGATCTGTATTCTAGGACAATTGTTACTTGCACGTATTTCTCTACGGTACACGTGCATACCTCGTTCCTCATTCCACGTAGATGAATACCGGTTATCAGCCCAAGGATTTTAAAGTCTCCATTGGCATTATGACGTAGGGTTACCTTTGTTCCCATTCAATATATTCTACGTGGATATGTGGTACAACAAGCAATGCTCATTTCGCCTATCGCGAATGTACTTCACAGCTTTATTGACATTGTGATTAAATATCATTGCTGATTGGATACGTCAGGAGTGTTGCGGTAATAGCAATGAGGAAGTCCTCACTGGTATGTACCATAAACGTACTATATCTTTATACAGTCTTCGAGTACAGATCAAAGGGAGATACCTGGGATCGCGATACAAATTATTGATTGGTTATTTAATAGAGAGTCCATTATACTCCGGATACTGTATACTGTATTATTTGATCAGTGCTTCTGGTATATATATATATATATATATATATATATAATTAGACTCCACGAGGAAGGGTTACCGGCGTTATAGACCCAAGGAACAGGGTGGTTTACGATAATATTATACAGTTTATTATATCGCCGTCTCACGCCATCGCATTGTTAGATCACGGGAAATGGACTTCCTTACGTAACCGCAAGCGGTCCAATATTATTCTTGCACGAACAATAGCCGGAGACGTAAATCAATGGGGAATTTCGGATTAGTCTATAGTCACGGCGTGGCTTTTCGATACGTAGAAAGAATACAGAGGTACAGTTGGTACGGAGATTGGAAATATTTTTTAAAAATAAAAATTTTTTTACTTAAAATTATTTTGAAAATTTTTTCTCTTTCTATCCTACGTCTCCGTACGCCATTTAGTATGGCTGCAGTCCTCTTCTTTGATCCTTACGAACGGATGATGAATTTATCCCAAAAAATCCGGACTTTTCATTAGACGTCGAGTACCGTGTTCTTCAAAGGACGGCGACTATTTCATTCGCGTGCTGAAAGGATTTAACCAGTTGAGGTTTTCTCCTGCTTGGAGTAACTTTGCGAATCCTTTTCCCTTAGTTCCAGTCATTTTCTCGTAATGGACCGAAAACTCTTCTGGAGCTCTCAAAGTTCACATATACCTTTTTTGCTCTCGTACTATGTGATTCCTGGGATTTTCAGGTAATGGACAGAATTTCAAGGAGTCTGACTTCTCAATAGGATCTTATAAAGGACCCACAGCATCCCGTGTTATAGGTGCATCCTTTTCGTATCTGGTGTAGAAATAAGATCTGTGTAGGTATAAGCTTGAATAGGAAAATAATTTTGTACTTGCATCTTTTTACAGCTGGCCACTTCGTCCGCTCACTGGCCGACCTGTCGCTTTACTCCGTAGACTGTAAGGGCCTGATGAAATTATGGCATCTCGGATTTCCGCAATTCCAACATTTGCCACTGCAAAAGCCGTCCGATCCAGTAGGCGAACACGTGAAATCCTCTTAGCCTGGCCAAATTCTTATTTCCCCGGATATAAGAAGATTTTCTTCGGTATTTCGACGCTTTTGAAAAATAACTTTTCATTGTCTCCGTAGATCCTTCGTTCGTCCTGTAAGGAACGAGTGACGTAATGCGCGTTAATATTTCAAATGAAAATTAAATATTACGGTCGAACTCCTGACGTGGGATTTAAATTTTTTATAAAAAAAAAATTCCATTTAATTACGAATAACTTGCAAAGCCTATTGAGAACAGCCTTTCGATCCGATAATGGCGCCGGTGAAGAAACTCTTGGATCCTTATGGGATCGCATTACCGATACACGCATTGCCGCCCACATTCCAGCCAGCTTAACGCGATACGAAGATAGGCAATCTGGAAAAGTTAACTCTACAGGGATTGGTCATAGTATTTTATTGATTGAACCAATGATAACCTCGCTGATTATTATTCCAAGCAAGGCGTATCCTATAAATAACCCAGGAACAGGACCAAACGAAAATTTAAGGACCATGGGACTGTGGACCATGGCGTTATGGGACAGGTGCAATTTTTCATGGTGCTCTCAAGGTGAACAGGATCGCCACCTGTTTCATTACAAGTCTGCCTCTCCCCATGCTCCTGACGCAGCATCTCATCCGATCAGTACCTTGCTCCTGCTAGGACGCATCGCTGAAATCATCTCATCGTCCTATACGGCGAACGTCATCAGGTTCAACTTGATTCGTTAATCGTCCAGAAGAGTCATATATATATTTTGGTCAATTTTACGTATACAAAAATCCGTATCCACTTATCCATATCGATCAACAAGATTTAATTGCAAGGGATCACGGTATAAACTGGAGATTTATCTCGCGAGAAATCCGGTCCATTTTAATCCACAGTAATTCAATGATGACTCGGGATGAATTTATAATTTTTTAATCAATCTTCATAACGAATTATACCCGGCTAAAAAATACGTTCAGTGACATCAAACCAAACCAGTCTTATTTACTGGAAGGTATAGGCCTTCAATTTACATACAGGTAGACGTGCCTGTACAAACTGTATAAAGTGCATGTAGAACTGCATTCAATTGGCCAGGAACTAAATTCTCTTAGACAGTGGCGTAAGAGTGATTTACAGCATCCTTGGTGAGAAATCCTCAGCAGCGCAAGGTGCACGTCTGGACCAGGAATTGTGCTGAGTTTCTGCTGCCACTGCACTGTCCATGTGATTTGCATGCAATCCCATATCCAAGGGTAGGTAAGGGTAGGTAAAGGGAGTACCAGTAAGGGTACCGTACAGCGGACGCAACAGCAGTTAAGCTACTCCACGCCAAGTCGTGTCTGACGGTTGGATCCAGGTAATTAACAGCCTCCGTAAACAGCAGATGAACGTCAGAGCGTCGCGACGCTCGGGGCTCAATTTGTCGCCGGACACTGTTTGACACTGGACCGACGTCAACCAACGACGCTGACATCCTCTACGTAGTTCAGGAAGCATCCGGTTGTATGAGAATCGGAGGAGGAAAAATTGATTTCTATTAAAAGTAACGTTTCTTCCCGGTCACCCTGTATATTAAATGACAGCTACCGGACACGTGGACTTTCTATCTAATAAGTCTGATCGTGTCATTCCTTAACTACTGGCACCTCGTTTAGCCAATCGACTGCGAAACGTCCGATCTAAGGATTTCTCTTGGAGATACTTTTTTCTTTTCTTTTTGCTTTCTTTTCTTTCTCCATCTCTTCTTCTCCTTTACGCCTAGTCACTGACACGTAGAAAATGTACTGGAGGTTCGACTTGTTTCCTGATCGCTGAACGCCGTCCTGTATAACGGTAAACTGGGAGGACTTGGACTTTCAATTGGTTTCGTTGTTAGGATGTCTTACGTCCGTGTATTTTACAGCCGAACGAAGTTGAATATGTACAGTAGGAATTGCGTAAAATTAATTCATGTTTTTCAACTTTTCCCCGAGGAATGGCGACTCTTCTGTGAATTCATGCGAAAGAGCGTCCCGACGCTTTCGTTCGTATTATCATTATTCGATATAGACGGATCCCCCCGTACGGTATCTGCTGTATTTACTTATGGACGTTTTTTTTATTCATAATTTTTTTAGTCACCCTTCATTTCATTTTTTTTTATTTTTTCCTTTTTTGTTTTTTTACTTCTGCCCGTGTTCACCACTCCGCGTATCCACTCGTTATTGATATACACGGGAGTGTGTTGGTTCGCGGAAATGAATTCTGCGACAGTATTTCTTGCGAATTTCGTATCTTATGGCGGAATGCGGTAAATGAGTTTTAACGAGTACTGCACGGCGGAACGTTCATGTTTAAAACGAGTACACATTTCTGGCCGCTCTACGGTATATCCAGTGTACTACTTGATGCTCCTGAAAAATCTTTCCCACTGTACTTCAACGAAAAGTAAAAATTATGGTAACACTGATACTCGGCAGACCGTAAGGTTAAGGGCGTCTGGTATATATTGTATGTAAATTCAACGTATAAAATATATTTTAGGAAGAATTTGATTAATTTATCAAAGTTACTGTCTCGCAGGAATTCGACGATGCATTATTCTCAATAGTGCTATCTAGTAATCGACAAGCATAAATAGCAATTGCCAAGGGGGTTGATTGTAAAATTTAAAATAACGTATGAAAATATTTTATATACCTTTCGAGCATGTTAACGTTAAGTGAAAAACTGCAGTTTCGCGGACTCACGGTAATGCAATTCTGCCGGGTGTATGATTACGTGAAAATAAGGATACTTCAAGGAACCAAGCAGTTGCCATAAAGGGGAAGGTTATTTTTTTTTAATTTTTCAATTTCCCATATTGCCCCATTTCGTTTTTCAAATGCAAATTATTGCCATGTAAACGTATATCGCGGGTACAGGCAGATAAGGGTTTAGGAAACGTTGCCGCATTTAAGGAAAATATTGTCGTTTTATCAATTTTTATTATTGTTTATTAGACCGAGGCTGAATTCGTCGTAAATTAATATTTCACGCAGGGTCACGCGTTATATTGAATAGTAGAATACTTATCGAATCCTTAAGATCGTCGCTTTGGCAGAGTATGAAAAAAAAAGCCACAGATTTTCATTCAACGCGAATAAAAGAATCGCGGATAGCTTTTTAGAGATGATTCCCATGTGAGAATTGCAGAATGCCATATTCTCCCATTGATAATACAATTTTATGGTTGGTATTTAAAAAAAAGCTTAATACTCATATTTCGACATATTCCCAGCTTGGTATGAATGAGAATATTCATAGGGTACTGTTAAAACATATTGCGTAACAATCGTCTAGCGGAATTACAATTAGGAAATTATTTTCCTCTGTAACGAGTATTAAATTATTCTATCATGAGTAATAGGCATAATGATATTTGTGTAAAGTGAGTATATTTCATGGAATGAAATGATGAATATATATATATATGCATAATACTGGTAGCCAGTATACAGTATCAGTGCTAAGTACAACCCAGTATTGTGTTACGAAAGGGGTTGGGACATTCGCCGTCAGGATGTTCCATTTAATTAAATTTGCATTGTGCAGAAGTATGAGGGGAGATTATTATCTACCTTTCGTGGAGATATGATAGAGTGCATTGCAGTTATCGTATCGCGGTCGGTGGGCCGAATGGTACTTTCCAACGCGCTCGACGAACTAAGTGAACGCGCAAAATTGCATTCGCGGCTTGAAATGCATCCCTCGCGCTCCCGTAATCAATAAACGCAGTATAGGCGCAACTTACCTGTACGTATACACGAGCGTATACATCGTGCGCTGAAATAACCTAGAAATCGTTGTTCGCTTTGCTTTGACTTTTCATGAGATTTCAAGCCCGTTCGGCAGCTACGTCGGTAACTTTTATTTGACTTGGACGGTCGGTATTACAGTCAGGTGACGAAGTTTTATTGTAAATTTGATTTGTGTGTTTTTTCGTCTGTCGAATATACATATATTTATCGTGGGCATTGCACGGGTACATTGCCGCTGCATCGGGATTTCGTGCAGATACCTGGCAGAGGCTATTTGCCCATAAATTTCAGACGATAATACGCGTTTGAGTTTAATCTATTATCAAATGTGTATTAAATACCTGTCGGATGCATTCTCAACGAGCGATTTTCACCGTGGCGACGTAGGATTTCGATTGTTTCTCGTGCCACTACCCCGCATGTAAATTACGTCTAAAAGCATCGTCCGCCGATCGTATTTCAGCTGGCGTATGACGCACGAGATAATCGTACTTCTCCGGAAAGATCTTTTGCTCTTCACGAGCCACCGATAATTTCCATGTTTGTTGATTCGCGCGACGCATATTTTCTCTGCTGAGTTACGTGCTTGCAGTGCTACGGGAAATCGCCGGGCGCGGCGCTGCAGTCGTCAACGGTACGTCGAGAGTGCCGTGTCGCTATCGGATTTTTCTTTTTATCGTGCAAGTGGTGGACGCGAGAGAGTGGACATTTCCTACCTCTCCAAGAGAATTGCATTGGGAAATCTGTGGCGAGCAATAACGTAGAAACAGTAGCGAGTAGATACGATTTTTTTTTCGCCTTCCTTCAATCTCCGTCCCCGTTTCCTTGCCGACAGAAACGATGCCTCTTAACGCATTGTCGACGGTGGCGCCACTGTCGAGCAACTTCGACAACAGGCATCGAATACTCCCGTAAACGTTAATGACATCGAGAATTAAAACGAATGGGTTCCTATTCTGAAATCACGACAGTTAAACGAGTCAGATGGCAGCACCTGCTCCGAGCGTGAATTCAGCCCAAATATTCGGATCACTGTCGTGCAGAAACTCGACCCGGTGAAATTTAATGGTAATAGGGACTGTAGGTAAGTATGGTGGGCTAGTACGGAATTAAAAAGAAATATGAAAAAAAAGCAAAACATGTTTTTCCTTCTCAGGTGCAATATGACGAGGAGCAAATTTTAGACAAAAGCTGGATATTTTCAAAAGAGTTGATGAGAATTCCGTCGGACTGCATTTCCCGACTAATTCAGTGATATATACACACGTGCATATATGCACACTTATGGAAATGTGTGATTCGGATATCGATGACCAATAACGTCGAGATTGCCTGC